CGGCCAGCCGCTGACCGAAGGCCTGGGCACAGAGCACACACTCATCCATGCTGACGCCCCTCACAGGGATGAAGGGGCACACGTCCAGGGCGCCCATCCGAGGGTGCTCCCCTACACAGAGAGGGGGCTGACGAAGGGGAGGCCCAGGGGGGCCCAGGCGTAGGCGTGGGCTCAGCGGGCTCGTGGACCCCGCCCTCCCTGCCCCCACCCTGCCCTCCATCCACACACGCCGCTGGTCCCACTGACCACAGGGATCCCGGGAGAAGCAGCCAGCCAAGTATTTTGGCCTCGGTAAGCCCCTCCGTCTCCTAAGCCACAGAGCGCACTGCCCAGCACTGCCTGCCGAGCTGAGCGGCCAGAGTCCTAACCAGCTCCCACCACCCAACCCTCCCTGCCCCCGCAGCTTACCGAGCGTCCTTCTCAAACCCTGACCACTCCGCTCCCCCTGGGAGCTCTGGCTTTGAGATTGGCTTGCTAACTCTCTACCAGCTGGAATCACATGGGCCTGACCCCCCCGCTGTGAGTAGCCAGAGCCCCTGCCCTTTTGACCTGTCCCCAGCGTGTCCACCAACCTTTGACCCTGCCTGCCACAGCAGATGTGTTTGCTTTTGAGGGCTGTTGCCAGGCCGGTTTCTGCGTCTTTTCTCCCTGCCCCCCCAATCCCCCCAGGCCTGCACAGGATGCCTGAGCCTCACTGCCAGTCACTCCTGGGAACCCCTGAAACACAGAGGGGGTCTCCACGGACCTTAGCCTGGCACAGCAGCCTCTGTGGGCTGCGCCTGAGACCCTTCAGGGGGCTCTGGGGTCCTTCCAGGGCAAGCTTGCAGGCCAGGCAGCCCCCACACCCTGTGGGGGAGGACCCTTCACCTTTGTGCTGCCTCATATCAATGAGCTGGAAGGCAACCCGGGCGGCATTGAGGGCCCCCTCCACCACGTCCTTGGGCTGCCCTACGAACGTGTAGACAGTGCGGTTGGTGGAGGGGCCAGCATCCACGTCCAGCAGCACACAGCCCGGGGTCTGCGCCACGGCGCGAGAGATGGCGTCAATCACCTGGGGACGAAAGCCCGACCCTGTGCCTCAGTTTCCCCACTTAGAAGAAGGAACAGGAGCTTCAGAGGCGGCCATGCCTCTCCTGCCGCCCCCAACCACCACCCAAACACGGGCCTAAGGAGCTGGTATTGAGCGTTTGGGAATTCCTCAAAGAGCGCAAGCCCAGGGAGGCCCATCACTGAGGTGTGGTCGCCAAGAAAAGGGAAACAGGTGGCACCCTCCAGGAGAAACTGAGGCAGGAATCAAAACCCTGGTGGAGGGACTGCTGCGGCTCCAAGAAGGTGACCTATAGGCCAATGTCACAGACGGTCAGGGCCCTAGCCCCCCAAGCAGTCCCTAGTAGGAGCATCTGCACTAGGGGCGGGGCATGAAGGTCCCAGAACCTTCTGAGGCAGCAGGGGCTCCGTGGCCCTCAGTGGCCTGCACCCACTCCCTACGCCTCAGTGTCCTCATGGGTAACATGGGGAGCCCACTGACAAGGTTTGGAGACCTTCCAACAGCCCTATGGCCCAGCTCCAGGGCCAGGACCCCTGCCTGACTGCCCAGCCCACGGCCTCTTCCTCACCCCTGCTCAGCCACTCTGAGTCCCTGCGCTCATGCGGCACCTCCCTATGGGCTGACGACAGGAAGTGGTTCCAGTTCAGAGAACATACTCCCCAACCCACATCAAGCACACCCCTTTCTCCTTGCCCCGAGCCCCTTGCCTAGCCCCCTGCACCTCACCTCCTGGTTGTTCCCCTCTGAGAAGTTGGGAACGCATTCCACCAGCTGAGACATGGTCTGGGCCTTGATCCTGGCACTCCTCTCACAGGGTGGACGCAGGGGAGGAGGGACACTGCCCTCCGGTGCCTGCTGGGGCCTTTATCCACCCACCGGGGCCCTCCCATGGTGGCCGGGCTGCTGATTAACCACCGGTCATGGCAAGGAGGGACGGGCTGTGGTCCCTGTGCAAACACAGAGCAGAACAGGAAGGGGGCCAGACCCTGTGAGCCAGACAATGGAGGAGGAGGGATCCCCTACCCAGCTGGGGGCCGGCTCCCCTGAAAGCAGCGCATGTGACCAGGGCCCTCGGGGGGTAAAAGTCCTCCCCGGGGCGGGGGCAGGGGGTGGACTCAGGTCAGCCCAGGCTCCAATCCCAGCTTGGCCCAGGGCCTCCTAGTGGTTATTCCTGTGACCCTCCAAGTGACCCTCCCGTGACCCTCCAAGTGACTCTCCAGTGACCCTCCAGTGACCCTCCGTGTGACCCTCCAGGGACCCTCCGTGTGACCCTCCAGGGACCCTCCATGTGACCCTCCAAATGACCCTCTGTGGCCCTCCATGTGACCTTCCAGTGACCCTCCATGTGACCCTCCAATGACCCTCCATGTGCCCCTTCAGCCCCTCCATGTGACCCTCCACGTGCCCCTCCAGTGACCCTCCAGTGACTCTCCGTGTGACCCTCCAGGGACCCTCCGTGTGCCCCTCTAGTGACCCTCTAGTGACCCTCCATGTGACCCTCCAAATGACCCTCTGTGGCCCTCCATGTGCCCCTCCAGGTGACCCTCCAGTGACCCTCCATGTGGCCCTCCAAGTGCCCCTCCAGTGGCCCTCCATGTGACCCTCCATGTGACTCTCCCGGTGACCTGCTAAATTTCCTCGTGTCAACTTCTGAGCTCGAGGTAGCAGGAAGACAAGAGAGGTCGTGTGTGAAGCCCCATCAGTGGACCTGGCCCTCGGCAGAGGTCAGCCCAGCCTGGTCAGGCAGGAGAGTGGGGGGAGGGGTCAAGTCTGTGCTGTTCATGGATGGCCCTGCAGGGCAAGTGGTCACGATGAAGCCCCAGCTCTCCCAGTTGCTCTTCCCCGAGGCCAGTGGCTCCTCACAAAGGACTGATGTGCCCAGGCCAGCAGCCCAGGGCCCTGCACCCAGAGAGCCCAGCCAGATCAACACTGTCTTGAATGGGTCGGGCACTTCCAGTCTGCCAAGCTTCCTATCACGTGGCTATCCCAGCAGTGCACGGACACCTCAGACCTGAGGTTCAACTGCCCCACCTCTCAGGGCACTCTGAAAACCCCACAGGGCCCTCCCAGAGGCAGGCCAGACCCCGCCTGTCATCCTCCCGGCATGGGCACCCACACGGCCACGGCAGTGCAGGGGCGGCCACAGGGCGCAGGTGAGGAGACCCCCGGCTGCGTGGGCCTTGGGGCCCCACCCCTCCAGCACCCACCCCTGGAGCAGCCAGACAAGCCCAGAGACCCCCGGAGGCTGGGGGCAGCCAGGTCCTCTCCAGCCGGCTCCCCTGGGAGAACACGAGCATAGCTATTCCACTTCTAGGTCCCACAGCGGGGTTGGGGAGCCTCAGCAGGACCCGGCAGGCAGCAAAGGCCCAACAAAAGCATTCTTCCAACCCTGGGTCCTAACACCGAGGCTCACCCACAGAGAGCCTGCATCCCAGCGGTGCCCAGGAGTGCCCACCAGTCCTTCCTCCAACAAGCAGCCCTAGCACCAAATTTGTGCACCCTCCGCAGGCCCCCAGGGTGGCAGAGTCCCCCAGCTGGAGGTTGGTGACCAGTGGCTGGAAGGGGAGGACGGAGTCAGTTATGGACTGAATGGTGCCCACCCCCAAAATCATATGTGGAAGCACTAATCCCCAGCACCTCAGAATGCAGCTGTATTTGGAGACAGGGTCTTTAAAAAGGTAATAAAGTTGGTCTCCTCCTCCAATTCCCCCTTTTCATTTTTCGCTTCCTACTATCTTTGAACCATGAGAGACGATGGACTCTGAGAAACAAACTGAGGGTTCTAGAGGGGAGGGGGGTGGGGGGATGGGTTAGCCCGGTGACGGGTATTTCGGAGCTTAAGTACCTACATCAAAAACCAATGATGTAATGTATGGTGATTAACATAGCATAATAAAATAAAATTAAAAAAATAACTGACAGTCATTAACAATGAATTTTAAAGCCTTTTAAAACAAAAGTATCTATTTTGAAAAGAAAGTAATAAAGTTAAAATTATGTCCGTCATAGGGCGACCCTGATCTCCTCTGACTGGTGTCCTTATGGTGAGAGGAAAGCAGGACAGACATGCACAGTGACAAGCATGAGGGGACACGGGGAGAGGGCGGCATCCACACGCCCAGGAGAGAGGCCTCAGGGGGATCCAGCCCTGTGAACGCCTTGACCTGCGACCTCTAGCCTCCAGCATGTCCTCTGAACCACCCTGTTCTGTGGTGCACGTTCTGGCTGCCCAAGCTGACGAAAGAGTATCCTAAGGTGCTGCAGCCTCTGGGACACATGGGCCTGTGAGGACCGAGGGACAGGTTGCCCCAGCTGAAGTTGGTCCAGACACCCCAATACTTTCGTCCTCACACCCACAGCAGAGAAGTGACCAGACACCTTCCACTCACAGCCAAGGCCAGGAACGTGCCTGTGCCAGGCCCTGGTCCTGATTGGGGGCCCAGGAGGTCACCTGTCCTCAAGACCTCAGGAGAGATAGCTCGACCTGATGGCTCCATTGGGGGGAGGGGGTGTGTGTGCATCAAATCATCTCCCAAATAAAGAGATTCCCCAGAATCCACACAGCTGCATGGGCCCTCCTCTCTATCCAACGTGCTGCCCTGGCTGTCTTGAAATTCCTACTTTTGAACAAGGGACCTGTGTTTTCATTTTGCACCACGCTCTGCAGATTCTATAGCTGTCCTGCCTGTATGGAATCCTTGCCTCAGGCTCTGCATTTGGGGAAACCAGCTGCTGGCCCCTTCAGGGGAGGAGACCGAGACCTCCCGGGGGAGGTCTGAGGGCTGGAGGGTCTGGGAGTCCAGCCTGAGCCCCAGCCTCTCCCCTCGAGGCTCTGTCCAGGCTTCATTCCACAAATACCGGCGGGCACCTCCTGTGGTGTTCTCCATGCCCTCAAAGAGCCAAAGGTAAATGCACACAGGTAAATAGATTATTTTAATAAAGTGCGACAGTGCCGCGCAGGTGTGGGCAGCAGGCGGGCTGGGCGCCTGGGGTGCGTGGCCCGGGCCGAGAGAGGCGCCTGCTCCAGCGCCTGCGGCCCTGGGCGCTCCGTCGGCGGACGCGGCTCTTCCCCCGGCCTGAGGGGACACGCAGGAGGCACGCGGCCCCCGGGATTGGAACAAACACGTTTATTGCAGGAGAGGCTCGGCGCGTGCTGGGGCGGGCTCACCAGGCGAAGAGCGGCTTGTGGTCCTCCTTGGAGAGCTCGCACAAGCAGGTGAGCAGCAGAAGCGAGTCGCCCAGGAACTTGGGGGGCACCACGTCGATGACCAGCTTGCGCAGCGCGGCCGGGCTGCTGTGCAGGGGGTTGGCACGCAGGTCGGGCCGCTGCTTCAGGATGCCGTAGGTGTTGATGAGGAACTCGCTGAACACCGGGTGCACGTCCCGGTTGTAGCCCAGCCTCTCCAGGCGCGCCGTGAGCGTCAGGTAGCGGTGCGTCAGCTCGTGCAGCTTCTTCTCGTCCACCGACCCGTCCAGGGACTTGATGGACGTCTGGGGGCACAGCGACCAGGTTTCCGTGAAGGAGGCTGCTGACACAGGGACGCGCGCCCAGAGCCGAGCCCCCAGCCCGGCAGAGCGCAGCGTCCCGGGTCCCAGCAGACAGCATCCGGGACCAGAGCCGGGAGCTCCCCCGCTAGCGCAGAGGCCGGAGCGCACAAGGCTCTGTGGCCCCGGGAGCCACGGCCGAGACTGTCCCAGGCCACAGAGCGGCTGGGTGCCAACAGAGACGCTCCCGGCAGTGGGCTCATCACCCTCTGTCACACGTGGGCCTCCACAGTCCTCAGCTGTGCGAGCACCACAGTTGACGGGGCAGCAAGGGCACCCTTCCCCCAGGGCAGCAAGGGGGGGTCCCACGGCAAGGGAGGGGACCTGGAGGCAGTGGGAGGACCCAGGGCAGGGAGGGATGCCAGGGTAGTGAGGGGCTACAGCAGGGAGGGGACCCTGGGAAGGGAGGGCAACTTGCAGCAGGGAGGGACCCCGGGGTAGTGAGGGGCCCCCCACATCAGGGAGGGAATCTGCGGCAGGGAGCAGACCCCAGGGCATAGAGGCATACCTGCTTGATCTTCTCAGGGATGTTGGACACGGTGAACCCATACAGCCGGGTCACCCCCGGGAAGACATAGGCCAGGATGCGCCGGTCCAGCTGGAAGGCAATCTCCCCAACTATGCGCCCATCCTTCTCAGTGCTGGAGAAGCTCTGGATCTCTGTGAGGAGTGGAGGTAGTGAGGCGGGCCCCGGGTCCCAGGACAGGGACGGTCAGGGGCCACCCACCTTCCCCCTGCTGGTGCCCCGGGATCCATTTTAGGGAAAGGGCCAACCTAAACGCAGCCCCTGCAGGTTTGGGGTGATGCCGCTGGGGCCCTCCCCCCCATCGTGGCTTCCCCTACCCCCAACGGTGAGGGTAAATACAAATGGGGAAGAAAACCTTGACTTTTCTGTTGCCAAAAGGGAGAGAGATCCTCTTCTCCCTCTTAGAGCAACCTGAGCAACCCATGAGCCTACGTCCTCTCTCTGCCCCTTTGAGACGGACAGAAACGTCTTTAAAAGCTTGTTTTTACAGCCCAGGATTGTCTTGTCCCCCGGCACCAGGGGAGTCTGCCCAGGGACCTGGGTCAAGGGTGACCCCTGCTTATCACACAGGCCCCACCCCTACGACCAGGTATGTTAGGTGGGCCAGACGTGTCCCCTCCCCTCCTGAGGGCGGGGTGCCAGTTAACTTGGGAATGCATAAGTAACCCCCGCCCCCAGGTCACGGGTCCAGGCTGCCTGGCTGTCTTGGCAGCCCGTGCATTGCAGGCTGGTTTCATGGGTACTTGATAATAAAAGTCTACTCCACGTTTGTGGAGAGGACTGCTGGGTTGGCAGGAGATCCTGTTTTTAATGATCTCCCTGACGTTACCAGATACATCACTCACCCTCCCCTCCCAAACCTGCTTCCCAGCCTGCACCCCCACGGCAGCCCCTATGCATTAAACAGCAGGTATGCACCAGCACCCTTCGGAACCATGTGCTCTCCGAAAACCCCTGGTCAGATGCGTCTGACAGTGAGAGATCCAAAGTGAGCTGAGCCTGCGTCAGAGTCAGGCAGAGCCTCCGCACTGGAGACCCTCCATCCGACGGCACCCCAGACTCCTGCTACCTCCATATTCTGCTCTTTCATCCCCACGAGAGGCAGGAACAGCCCCATTTGCAGAGCCTTTCCTAAAGCCCCTAGGGCTTTTCTGAACCTGAGCATGATGCAAACCCTCCAGGGCATCGACTGGGTGCAGCCTGCGGGGTCCATCCAGTGGGCAGGCTGTGCATGCCTGGGCTGGGTGACCCAACACTCAGGACACCCCATAGCAGCCCCGGAGAACTCCCTGCATAGCCGTCTGTGCCGTGAATGCTGCAGGGCTCCAGGACCAGCTGTGCCTGTGGCCGTGGGCAGGCGTTTGCCCTCCTTGGCCCCATCCTGTGCCTGGGTCCACCTAACCACTCAACCCAGAAAGCTGCCAGTTCACTCACACCACAAGAGGACGGTGGCCCCTCCCAGGCACGTAACAGCCCGTCAGCACGGGCTTATCAGCTCCTTTGAGGGCAGGCCGCTAACATAGGGCCACCAGATGGCCACGGAGGATAGGCCCGGGGGGCACTGTGCTTTCGCTCTTTCAGCCACGCACCTCGGGCACTGAGCACCACGCACTGAGCACTGTGGGCACTGATCACTGCGGGCACTGAACAGGGAGCGTGGCTCTGCAGGTGGGGATGGGGAGCAGGAGGGGCCACAAGGGTGTGGATGCCCCAGGCAGAGGGCCCCGCCTGAGCCACACGGCCCAGAGCCACGTGCTCCCCCATAGAACCCCATGAGGGCCTTAGAGCTGGCGGGGGGGGCCCCGAGGCCGAAGGGTCACAGGGTGGGGGAAGCAGGATATGAGCTGAGGCAGAGCAGGTTTCTGAGGGCGGAGGAGAAACGCTGGTGTGAAATGCTGGGGAGACGGGGCCACGGAGCTGGAGCTGCAGGACAGGCCATGGCTCCCAACACAGCCTTGGACCTAACTTAAAATTTTTTCTGAGACATAATCACATAGTATAAAATTCACTCTCTTCAAGTATGCGATTCAGCTGTTTTTCTGTATTCACAGAGTTGTACAGCCGTCACCACAACCAAATTCCCAAACAAAACCCTGTACCCGCTGGCAGTCACACGACGCTCTCCCACAGCCCCTGCAAACACCAACATACGCCCTGTCCCTGTGGACGCATCTATGCTGGGCATGTCCCACCAGTGTCGTCACGAAGGACGTGGCCCTGCATCTGGCCCCACACTGCTGTTCCTGAGGTCCGTCCACCCTGCAGCCACGTCAGCGCTGAGCTCCTACCTATGCTGAGTAGCACCGCATCGTGTGCAGGGACCGCATTCCAGTTGTCCCTTTGTCCGCTGACAGGCTTGGGGGCTATTATGAATAATGCCGCCATGAAAATTCATATAAAAAACTTTGTGTGGTCAAATGTTCTCAATTGCTTTAGATATATACCTAGGAGTGGAATTCTGGGACACATGGTATTCTGTGTTTAATTTTTGATGAAATGCCAAACTGTTTCCACGGCAACAACATATATGCGTTCCAATGTCTCCACATCCTCACCAATGCCTGTGTTTGTTCCTCGTTTTTATGAAAGCCATCCTAGTGGGCATGCAGTGGTGTCTCATTGTGGTTTCATCAGCATTTTGCTGATGACTGATAATATTGAGTATCTGTTCACGTGCTTATTCTCCTTTTGCATGTCTTCTCTGGGGTAATGTTCCTTTGAGTTCTTTGCCCATTTTTAATTGGATTGTTTGTCTTTTTACTGTTGAGTTGTGGAGAGTTCTTATACATATCCTGGATACTAGTCCCTTATCATCTGATTGACAAATATTTTCTCCCACTCTGTGGGTTGAATTCATTTTCTTGAAATGTGTTCCTTTGAAATACATAAGTTTTTACTTTTGATAAAGCCCAGACTATATACTTTTCCTTTTGTTGCTCATGCTTTTGGTGTCACATCTAAAAATCTCTTGCCAAATCCAAGGTTATATGTTTTATCTCTGTGCTTTCCTCTAAGAGTTTTATGTCTTGAGCTCTTTTAGATTTTTTACATTTGAGTTAATGTCTTGAGCTCTTTTATATTTTCTACATTTTGAGTTAATTTTTGTTTGTGGTGTGAGGGCCAGCTTCATTCTCATGGATGTGTTTGTCCACTTGTCCCAGCACCATTTGTTGCAGACCATTCTCTCTCCATTGAATTGTCTTGGTGTCCTTGTTGCATATTAAACCTATAAATGGGCTTGGGCTTATTTCTGGACGCTCAGTTCTACTCCACTGATCTCTGTACGTCTGTCTGTACGTGGGGGTGCAGGCTGGGAAGCAGGTTTGGGAGGGGAGGGTGAGTGACACAGCAATGCCACACTGTCTGCATTGCTGTAGCTTTATAGTAAGTTTCAGAACTGGAAAGTGTGAGTCCTCCAATTTTGCTCTCCTTTCTCAAGATTCTTTTGCCTCTTCTGGGTCCCTTACATTTCCACCTGAATTTAGGATGATTTTGGCAATTTCTGGAAGGAAGCCAGCTGGGATTTTGACAGGGATTTGTATTGAATTTGCAGATCAATTTGGAGAGTGCTGCCATCTTAATAATATGAAGTCATCTGGCCCGTGAACACAAGATGTTTTTCCACTTATTCGAGTCCTCTTCACTTTCTTTCAGCAGTGCATTGTAGTTTCAGTGTGCTCCTTCCCTGATCCCTTTGCAAAGCTGCAGCAGCTACCTGGGAGTTAGGGCTAAGAACCAGACTCACTGCCCAGCAACACGTCAAGGCACATGAGGGGCACAGAGGTGCAGGGTGCAAACTCCCTTCTACATTAACACACCTCCCTCACCAAGAATCAGCCTCTCTTCTCACCCGTCTTTAACGCATAAATTAGATGGAAGAAGTGATATACACCTAAGATGTTCTAGAAATCATTTCTTGTCCAACCTGGGCCTTCCAAGATCCAGCCAAAATCTATTCTTCAAAGAAAAAGTCAATAAAATTGACAAACCTCTAGCCAGACATATTAGGGAAAAAGAGAAAGACAAACACTACCATTATCAGAAAATGGAGATGGTATCACCGCAGATCCTACAGATGTTAAAAGGATAATAATGGAACATTAAGAAAATTTTATGCTAATAAATTTGACAAGATAGAGGAAATGGACCAATTCCTTAAAAAACACAAAAATTCACTATTGTGAGTGAAGGCCAAAGCTCCCTCAAGAAGAAATAGATAATTTGAATAGCCATATATCAACTAAGGAAATTGAATTTTCAGCAGGGGAAACATTCCTACAAAGAAAATTAAAGGCTCAGGTGGTTTCAGTGGTGAGTTTTACAAAATGTCTAAAGAGTAAATAATACCAATTTTGTAAAAACTCTTCTAGATAATGAAAAAGGATGGAGCACTTTCCACCTCATTCTCTGAAGTCAACATTAACCTGGTACCAAAACCAGAAAATGACATTTAAAAAAACTATAGCCCAATATCCTTCATAGACAGTAAAAATTCTCAACAAAAGTTTAGGAAATTAAATCCAACAATACAAAAAGTATAATACATGATGACCAAGTGAGGTTTATCTCAGGAATCCAAGGTAGGTTTATAATTCAAAAATCAATCAATGCAGTGTGCCTGGCTGGCTCAGTCAGTAGAGCATGTGACTCTCAATCTCAGGGTTGTAAGTTCAAGCTCCACATTGGGTGTAGAGATTACTTAAAAATAAGAAAATCTTTTTAAAAAATCAATGTAATTAACCATATTTGCAGAAATAGACTACAAATAAAAACCAAATGCTCATCCTAATAGATGCAGAAAAAGCACTTGACAAAATCCAATATCCATTCATTATAACTCTTAGAAAACTAGGAATTAAAGGGAGCTTCCTCAACCTGATAAAGGATACCTACAAAGACCTGAGCTAACATCATACTTAACAGTGACAGACTGAATGCTTTTCTCCTAAATTAGGAAAAGACAAAAATGTCCACTGTCACCATTTCTATTCAACATGTGCTAGAAATCTTAGCCAATGCAATAAGACAAGAAAAAAAATAAAAGGAATACAAACTAGAAATGAAAAAATAAACTTGTCTTTATTCACAAATGACACAATCATATATCCTAAGGAATCCACAAAAAGCTACTGTAACAAGTAAATGAGTTCAGTAAGGTTGCAAGATACAAAGTCCTGTTTTGTCAGGGTTCTCCAGAGAAATAGAAACAGAACCAATATGGTGTGTGTGTGTGTATGTGTTGGGGGTGGGGAGTAAGGAATCAGCTCATGTGATTACAGAGACTAACAAGTCTCAAGATCTGCAAGGTGAGTCAGCAAGTAGAAACCTGGAGGGACTGAAAATGTTGCTCTAGCCTAACTTTGAAGGTCTGAGAACCAAGAGAACCAATGGTGTGATTTCAGTCCAGAGTACTGCAGGCTTGAGACTCAGGAAGAAGTGATGTTTCAGGTCAAGTCCAAAGACAGGCAGACAGGAGGAATACTATCCTCCTCAGGGTAGAGGAGGATAATTTTGTCCTATGCAGGCCTTCAACTGATTAGATGAGGCCCACCCACACTGGGCGGCAGGGGGCGCAAAATGCTTATTCAGTCTATTGATTTAAATGTTAAACTCACCCAAAACGCTTTCCCAGAAACACCCAGAATGTCTGACTAAATATCTGGGTACTTCATGGCCCAGTCAAGTTGACAAATAAGATTAAGCATCACAGAAATAAATATACAAAAATCAATTGTGCTACTATATACTAGAAATGAACAATCAGAAATTGATAATGATAAAGGCAAGTATTTCCTATAGCATTAAAAGTGAAAATACTAAGGGGTCAATTTAACAAAAATGTGCAAGATCTAAACTTAGAAAACTATAAACATTGTTGAGAGAAATTTTCGAAACAACTACATAAACAGAGAGATATACAGTATTCATGGATCTAAAGGTTCAATATTGTTAAAAGTGTCATTTCCCTGAAAATTAACCTAATCAATCTGTACATGCAGGGCAATCCCAAACTCCTAGCAAGATTTTTTATAAAAACAGACAAGTTGAGGGGCACTTGGGTGGCTCAGACAGTTGGGTGTCCAACTCTTGATTTTGGCTCAGGTCTGATCTCAGGGCATTGGGATCAAGCCCCACATTTGGCTCTGTGCTCAGTGGGGTGTCTGCTTGGGTTTGTCTCTCCCTCTCCCTCTGCCCCTCCCCTCCTCTAAAATAAATAAATAAATCTTTTAAAAAAAAAACAGGGGTGCCTGGTTGGCTCAGTCATTAAGCGTCTGCCTTCAGCTCAGGTCATGATCCACGGGTCCTGGGATCGAGCCCCGCATCGGGCTCCCAGCTCGATGGGAAGCCTGCTTCTCCCTCTCCCACTTCCCCTGCTTGTGTTCCCTCTCTCGCTGTGTCTCTCTCTGTCAAGAAAATAAAATAAAATAAAATAGACAAGTTGATTCTAAAATTCATATGGAAATGCAAAGGACCTACAATAGCCAGAAAAACTTTGAAAAAGGAGAGCAAAGTTGAAGAACATATACCACCTGATTAACAATCTTACTTTAAAGCTACAGTAATCGAGACAGTGTGCATTGGAATCAACACAGACAGATAAATAGAATAGCATGGAGGATCCAGAAACACATTTATACATATATGGATAAAAGTGTCAAGGCAGGGGCGCCTGGGTGGCTGAGATGGTTAAGCGTCTGCCTTCAGCTCAGGTCATGATCCCAGGGTCATGGGATCGAGCCCCACATCGGGCTCCTGGCTCAGCGAGGAGCCTGCTTCTCCCTCTGCCTCTCTCCCTGCTCATGCTTTCTCTCTCTGTATCTCTGTGTCTCAAATGAATAAATAAAATCTTTTAAAAAAAAGTGTCAAGGCAATTCAATGGAGAAAAAATAATCTTTCTGAACACTGATTCTGGAAGAAGTAGCCATCTAATGTGAATCTCATACCACGGACAAAAACTGACTGGAAATTGATCAGAAACCTAAATGTAAAACCTAAACCCATAAAACTTCTAGAAGAACACACAGGAGAGAATCTTTGTGACCTTCAGTGTGACAAAGATTTCTTAAATCTGACGCAAAAAGCATGAACTACGTAAAAGAAAAAAAATCAATAAACCGGACTTCATCAAATGAAACAGTTTTGCTCTTTAAAGAACACTTATGCAAATGGAAAAGCCACAGATTGGGGGACCACATTTGCAAAACATTTGCCCAGAAAAGGACTCGTGTGCAGAATATATGAAGAACTCTGACAACTGGATCATAAGAAGATAAGCAACTCAATTTTTTTTAATAGGCAAAAAATTTTAACAGAAGAGCCCCAGACCCTGGCCTCCCAGCCACACTCTCTTCCCCCTGCTGGAAAATGGAGACGCTTTGGCCAGCTGGCCACCAGCCCACCCTCCCCGGCTGCCCGCCACCACATCCCGGTGCCCACCCTGGTGCCCACCCCCTGCTGGGCCATACCGTTAAGGTAGTAGCTCCTCCTGGTCCTGTCCCCAGAGGGCAGGCTGCTCTCCGAGAAGCACACTTTCTTGGGCCGGACCATCTCCCTGGGCTCCAGCAGGGTCTTGTCCGCCAGCGGGTCCTGTAAGGGGCTCAGGAGTGGGGACAGCTTCCTGTCAGTGCCTCGGGGTACACGCAGCTCGAGGGGACTGAGGAAAGCCTTGAAGGGCACCTGGGTGGAGGTTGCACAGCCAGGGGAGGCATCGTCCTCACTGGAGATGGGGGCGTGCGAGCACAGCAGGTCCTCCAGGGAGGACGTCTGCAGCTGGGAGGGTGCATCAGGGGCACTGGAGAACCTTCCAAAGTCTGCAACTGGGAGGGGGAGGGAGGGGAAGTCAGGCTGTGTTCCTGAAACATCCCTAAGGAGGGAGAGATTACTGAAGAACACCTGCATGCCCAGCCTCAGGCTGTGACACCCCAGCCCGTGCTTCAGAGCCTTCCTCCTCCCTCTACAGAAGATGGCACTGTGGGTGCCCACCCCATCCAAGGAAGCCCCCAGCCTCACATGCATGAGCAAGGCAAGCGTGCATGCCTCCACGCGCCTCCTACCCGCCCGTGCCCCCACACAGTACCGAGGGACTTGTACATGCTTTTGAATTTTTACATAAATGGTATCATCCTATATATGTTTTATTCTGCCGCATACCTTTTTGCTGCAGCGTTATCTTTTTTGGGAATTTATCCATGTTGAGTTGCCGGGTAGCTTACCTGACACATTTAACCGTTTCATGCCACATGTGTGATACACACACACACACACACACACACAGAACAATTTTCATACCCGTTGCTCTGTTGATAGACATGAGGGTTATTCCTGGTTTCCTTGAAAAAGCTATAAATCAGCATCCCATAATATGCCTCCTTGCTCACAGTGAGCACCCTCCACCATCTGCACTGGGCTCAGGTGTGTGCCTGTCAAACTTTCTCTGTGATCTACATTAGCAGAATGTAGAACATTCCAGCAGCTGCACCAGTCCTAGGTAAGCAGAGACCAGGCTGATGACATCACATGGCTTTTCCCTAATCCCCAATGACACTGAACATCCTGTCATATATGCTTACTAGCCCCTCAGGTTTTCTTTAGGTGATTTATCTTTGCCTTTTCTCTGCTCGTTTTAGGATTTTTGGGGAGAGCGCGGGGGGGCGGGGGGTAGGTGAGTAGTCTTGAAAATTATTTGTAGCAGCTCTTTTTCTCCTGCATACTAACTCCTTATTGATGAAAAGTGTTGTAAATGTCTTCTTCCATCGGGTGCCTTGCTTATATTTTAATCTCTTTTATAGTGACTTGTCATGCAGAATTTTTCAAATTATAATGTAATCAATTTTAACTTATTGATTCTTTTTGTGATTTAAAATAATCCTTTTCTGTTCCCATATGACAAACTTTTTCTCCTAGCAATAAGGCAAATATATACTTGAAAAATAGTGTTTTTTAAGAGTTATAATGAAAAATTATAGGGGCACCTGCCTGGCTCGGTTGGAGGAGCATGCAACTCTTGATCTCAGGGTTGTTGGGGTAGAGATTACTTAAATAAATAAAACGTAAAAAAAAAGAAAAATTATATCCTAAAATATACCTCCTCAGGAACCAACGAATCTACCTCCAGCAATGTTTTCCTAGGAAAAAAATGTTGAAAAAAAGAACAGCCATCAGGATGTGTCTTGCCTCCTGTCTGCCCACTTGGCCAAAATGGCCATTCCCGTGGGCCTGCTGAGGGGCCTCACAGTGTCCTGATCAGTCCAGAAACGGCCCGCGGAGCACCCTTCCAGAGCTCAAGAATGCAACATGAGAGCACCTCTGGCTGCCCCAGGGCTCAGGACTCAGACCTCCTGAGGGCAGGCGGCCTCCCCACAGAGGGCAAGGGCCTGTCCTAGAGGGACTTCTGTTGCGCTCAGCTGGGTTTGGGCTTTGTTTTGTTCCTATTTAGTGAGTTGTGATTCCGTTCTGTTACTCACAAGCCTTCAGTAAAGTTGTGTTAACATTAAAAAAACAAAAATGTTTAATCTTCAGTCAAGTCCAAAAAGTAGGCACATTTGCAGGCTACATTTTAATGAAACTATACATGAATAACAAGCATCGGCACAAAATTCCATTCCTCTGAAGTAAAAGCAATCACATCAAGGAAGAAATGAAAAAATGATTATTGAGAAATAATGAAAATCAGAACACTATGTACATTTAAATCAGAACACAAATGTACATGAGTACATTTAAAACTGTATTTGGATTGAAATTAGTGATTTAAATGCTTTAATTACTTTTTAAAAATCATCAAAAAAATAAGCATTCAGATCAAGACATGAAAAGGAGCTCCTAAGAAACAGAAAATCTAGAAACAGTGGAAATGACAGCAGCAATACCCTGGAAGCAGCTCCACGAAACATCAACAAGACCGCAAAGCTGCAGACAGTGACTCTGGGGAAACAGAAAACATGAGGAGATGAAACCAGGAATGAGAAAAGCAACATCAGGAAGACCGGGAAGAGGCGAGGGTTGCCGCCCCGTCACCAAGATCACAGTCATGGGAGAGCTCTCGCCGAAAGGTGTTTTTAAATGACTCAGTAAGGAGCAGAAAATCTAAATGGACCAATAAGCAAAGAAGAAAAATCTAGAAGTTACAAAACCACTATGCTCCGAGGGCACGGGCCTGCCGGGGTGACAGTAAATTCTTTCAGATTCCAAATGATTCTTAATCCCTACGCCACATGAACAAGGTTGGAACACTGAAAAAAATGAAAAGATGCCTGATCGAGGTTATAAACCGGTCACAACTCTGATGTCAAATCCCCACACAGAAAACCCACAGACGGAAAACCAAAACCAGAACTCACATAGGAACTGAGTCCCGAGATCCTGAGCGAAGCCCCATCCCATCAGATGCCAGGGCAGCCGGCCGGAGCCCAGGACCGCGAGGCCTCTGGGTGGAGCAGTCCGAGGGCCCCAGCTGAGGGCACCCCATCCCAGCCAGACCGGGGTCACGGAAATTGAACACGACAAGCTCGTTCTCGATTTTTCTTGCTCTTTAGAAAGGACTAGAAGGGTCCTCCCAGTGCCCAGCGTGCGTGTCCCCCGCCCCCAGGCCCACCCGCTGGCTGCCGATGCCAGGGCTCTGAGAGTTCCAAGGGCAAAGACAAAGGCAGAATTAACAAGTACACACACACTGTCGATCTCGTTTAAAATGGTCCTTGGCACACAGGGCGGTTGTAGACTCAGAACAGAACACACTGAGAAACTTAGCAGCCCGGGACCCTCCCCCGGAGCGTGGCTGTGTGTGGCCCTGGGGTCGCGAAGGTGCCGGGGCCGGCAAGGTGCCGAGGCCGCAGCCTGGCGGAGCGCGTCCAGCAGCTTCTATCTCAACAGTTCAACAGCACCCAGCCCTTGACCCAAGGGTTTCCCGCCGTGACCCCTGTGGCAGGTCTGCCCTGCCCTGGCTGCTGTGGTGGGGAACGGTGGGGGCCATCAACGTGCACAACAGCTCAACTCCGCTTAGGGAAACCCAAACGACCCCCTGGGACAGGCACATGAACATATCCACCATACATTTCAGAGGGAGACCCAGGAAAACGCTGACAGTGGCTGACTTTGGGCATGGGGCCAGGAGCTGGGGCCCGGCCTGGTACGTTACATCCTCCTGGGGTATTTGTAAGTTTGCCATGAGTACGTGTTGTTGAACAAAGAAAATGGGTTTTAAAGCACATCCTGCTTTGAAGGCAGATGCTAAGGGACTGTGAGAAACGTGAGCTGTTGCAGGGGGAGCTCCCTTCGGTTCACAAACTCCTGCCACTGTGCAAGAGTAGTTCCAAACTTCAGTCCCCAGAGAAGGCTGAGGGCCAGGGCCAGGCCTGCAGGCAGCGTCCCAGAGCCCCGGGCACAGGGGTGGCCCTGACTGCAGTGGAGCTGGCCCCTCCCCGAGGATGGCTGGGGCCTTGCTGACCTTGGCCCACACCCTGCAGCAGGGGCTCCAGGCCTCTCTGTGCAAGGCTTGGTGGCCTTAGGCTGGCCAGGGGCTGGAGCTCCTGCTAAGACTGGTGTCCTGCCAAGTCTGGGCTTGCTGGGGGTGACCCACAGGTAGGGGTGTCGGCTGCCATCCCAGAGACGCCACCCTGACTTGGGCCCCGACCAGGGTCCCCCTAGGAGCAGCCCGGCTTGAGTGAGAGTCTGCACCTCTCCTGACCAGGCGCCGGAGGAACAGAGAGGGGGGAAGGCCCCAGGGCTCCTGCCACTGTGGACGCAGGGGTGGCTCTGAGCCCTTGGAGGAGGCCCCAGGCTGACCCGATTCTCCACACAAAGGACAATGGAGCCACACTGGGTTTGTGACTCTTGGCAGGAGTCACAGCACCGATAAGGCTTGAGGACAAGTGCCTTTGGCAGCCACCGCACAAGGGCATCCCCAGTGGCCCAGAAAGGCAGTCCTGGCCCCCCGTTGTGGGATGTCACATAGGGGACAAGGCCCTGTGAGGCCAGTCATCCTCAGCAAGTTTCTGGTGACAAGCATGTGCCTTGGCAGCTGGTGAGAGCTCAGGACTGGTAGGGACTAGGGGTTGCCCCAGCTGCCCCTTCGGGCATCATGGTCCTCTTCCCGCCATCCCCCCAACCACCTCCACCCCCACCACCGCCCTCTGCTTGTCCCGAGCTCCCTCTTCAAGGTCCCCCTTGAGGCTGAAGGAGTCCAGGTGCCATGAAGGACCCCAGGGACATGCTTGCTCACAGGGCTTTGCACCCGTGAGCTCCGTGAGGCGGGCTGGTGGGTGGTAACCACTGCTATGGGGGCTAACCCCCCACCCCGTTTTCCAGGTGTGGACTTAGTGGCCCAGAGAGAAGGGCCTTACCTGAGGACACACAGCAGAATGGGGAAGTGGGTCTTGGTTTACTCAGACCTGAGGGAAGGAAGAGGGCCCAAGAGCACTGGCGTCAGCAGGCCAGGCACTGCCTGCGCCCTGCGGCCTCCCCTCGGCTCCCGGGAGCCCCGCAGCCAGCTGGCCCTGGCTGCCCAGGCCCGTGGCCTCACCTGCACTCCCAGGGGAGCAGTCTTCGGGGTAGGTGGGCACCTTGGTGAAGAGGAGGTCTCGGCTTCCGAGACCACAGCGCTCCTGGCAGCTCTCACTGAGCAGACGCTTCAGCATCTGGTTCTCCTTCATGAGGCGCACCTGCTTCTTCAGGTCTGCGTTCTCACTCATGAGCCTACTCATCAGCTCGCTGCCCTCGGCCATGGCCACGTCTTCACGTGCTCACGTGTGGGCCTGCAGCCCCATGGAGGTGGAAATCCAGAGCCCACAGGCGCTCCAGAAACAGCCCAAGGCCCCAGAGTTCCACAGCTGTCTGGCCTTCCGCGGCCTTGTGATGTCGCCCGCCCTTAAAGAGCCGGTCCCCCCGCCGGCGCTGGACCACCCACTCCACCCGCAGACCTTGCCTCCAGGACCAGCACCCACAGGGCGACACCTCCGGCCGAGGGGGCTGCCAAGCAGAACACAGGGAGCGGATGGGAGAAGTGGGGACGGGGCTCGTGGGGAGGGCAGCTCAGCCCAAGACGGGAATGCTCCAGCCCCTCCTAGGAACAGCCAGAGCACTGGGCTGAGGTGCAGGGCGGGCCATCCACGCCCTGTGGTGTGCACAGGCCTCAGGGGGACTCTGCCTTCACTCTGCGTGACTTGTGGCATCCCTCCCCATGAGCCATCAGCCCTCCCATGGTTCTCATGTGGCTCCGCACTCTGCGGGATCAGCAGGGTCCCCCAGAACCTGGGCCAGTGTCTGGTGTGCAGACAGATGTCAGGGTGCACCCCTGGGATGCACACTTCAGGAAGGAGGGGCAGTGGGGTCGCGGGAGATGAGCTCGGGTGCCCCCAACAGCCCCGAGGCCCCGTGGACTCCAGGCGGGCTCTGAGGGGCTGGCAGTTGGAGGCCGCCTGCTGACCACACGTCCCTTGGAAAGAAGGCTGTGAGCCCTGAGTGTCTGGAACACTGACCGTTACTGGACCTAACTGAAGGCTCCCTCGACCAGGCACAAGGGCCGTGCGGACCAATCACACGCAGACCTGTGCTCACAGAGTCCTGCCAGGGTGTGGATTTCGGGCCCTGGTTAGTGGGACCACCGCGGAGCCCACGCCAACACCCACTCTGCCAACTAACTACTCAGGAGGGAAAGTGAACTCAGCACTGTTTCCTGGCTCTGAAGTTCTTGGTCGAGCTTCTCGGCAGCCGTGAGGCAACAGCGGGGTCATCTCCTGATCCTCTTGGGACGGGATATAGTCCAAACAAGGAGCCAGCACGTCCTCCATACCCTTCAGCCCCAACACCACGTGGCGTCAAGGGCACTCAGTGCAGGGGCTGGGGCTCCAGGCCAAACAAAGTCATTATTTCCCCCAGACTGCCAAGTTAGCATAAGGTTGCTTCAAGAAGAGAAAGCCTCGAGTCAGGTTTTGTGGAAAAGGATTTCTACGTCCCAAACGTACCTTATACAACCTGAGAAAGACCCAGTGTCGAGACCCACAGCCTCTCACACCAGACAAGGACAGCGGACATGTGGACAGCCCCCACTGAGCAAGGGTGTGCCGGAGCTCCCAGGACTCCCAGATGAGAGCAAGGCCTCCCCCCACACTGGCCCCTCCCGTGTCATTTAAATGCCACTTTCTACTACCCCTAGAAAACCCTCTGGACACCGCACCCCCTCCAGCCACAGGCCCATCACCCTCTGCCAGTTTTCTGATCATGAAGCAACATCCTTTTATCACTAGATTCAATTTAATACTAGTGTGTTAAGTATTTTCTGTGTGTGAGGGAAACTGACCTGAATGTCCTTTTCCTGTAACGTCCTGGTCTGGTTTTGCTATCAAGGTCGTGCTGACCTTATAAAAGGAGTTGCAAAGTATTCCCTCCTCCTCTAATGTCTGGATATTTGTGTTAGGTTGTTAACTGCTTTCTTCACTTTTTGATAAAATTCACCGGGAAGCCATCTGAGCCTGGAGCTTTCTTCTGGAAAAGCTTTAAATCTCAAATTCAATTTCTAAAATAGATACAAGGCTATCTAAATTCCCCACTTCTTTTCATGACCACCTAGATGACAACTGTGTCTTTCAGGGAGTTTGTCCGTCTGTGTTGTGGCATACTGGCGAGCAGCCTATGACATTCCCTCCCCGTACTGACTCTGCGGCCTCACGCCTCTGAGCACAGACGGATGCGCGGCCAAGGCAGAAAACTGAGTGTGAACACGGAGCAGCAGCGTTGGCAGATGGGTGCGGCAGGATGTAAGGACCCGCAAGCGGGGCAGTGGGAGTGGGCGGATGCAGAGAGGGGGCGGGATGGCGAACTCAGGCTCACCACACCAGGGCAGCAGGCCTGGAGGTGACCAGGCTGGACAGCCGGCTTGTCTGCAGGACCTGTGGCGATGCACCTTTTCTATGCCTGTGGTAGGTTTTCTTTCTTTCTTGATCAGACCAGAGGCTTGTTAATTTTCTCAAAGCATCAACTTCTGGTTTTATTGATCTCCATTAAGCCTCCTACAGCATTTAACTTGCACTCTTTTATCTGGTTATTTCCTTCCTTCTACTTTGGTTTTAGGTTTCTTAAGGTGGACACTTAGATCACTGGTTTGAAACCTGATTTACAGCATTAACATGTAAGCCTGCAACCATTTCTGTAAGCACTGCTATAGCTACATCCCACAAACTCTTATGTCATTGTTTTCATTTAGCTTGAAATATTTCCCTTGTACTTTCATTTTTGACCATTGTTTATTTAGAAGTGTATTGTCCAATTTCCAAATAATTGGGATTTTCTATCTCTTTTAGTTACTGATTTCTAATTTAATTCCATTGTGGTTAGAGAATACAGTCTGGCTTCAATCCCTTTGAATTTCTCGAGACTCATTTCCTGACCCCGCATGTGGGCTTAGTAAATGGTCCGTAAGCTCTTGAAAAGAATGAGGTGAAGTGTCCCATAAATACGTTACTTCAAACTGGCTCAAGATTTTGTCTGCAGTTACTGAGGCAATGTTGAAATCTCCCACTTTGTGTATTTATCAAATTCCCTCTCCAGCTGCACATGTTTTCCGTATTCTGAAGCTGTTATTAGGTGCATATACATTAGTATTAAATGTCTCTTTATTTCTAGTACCGTTCCTTTTCCTGAAACCTACTTTGATAGTAAGACAGTACTTTTGCTTTCTTATGGATGTTTGTTATATATTTTTCTAAACTTGTACCTTTATTCTGTATTTCTGCATTGAAAATTTCTCATGAACAACATAGCTGGGTCATGCTTTTTCATTCAATGTGACAGTCTCTGCCTTTTAACTTGAGTGCTTAGCCCTTTACAGTTAGTAAAATTTCTTTAATGGTTGCTGTGTTCGTCTTCTAGGGCTGTATTAACAAAAGAGCGCACACAGTGGCTTAAACAATAGAAATTTCTTTTCTTACAGTTCTGAAAGCTAATCAGTGCTTCTTCTGTGTCTGCTGAGCTTCACTGGTCTGTGGGCTTACATATTTCATATCTGGAAAAATTTCAGCCATTACTCAGATGGTTTTCCGCCTCGCTCCATCCCAATTTTGTGGGACTCCAATTATATGCATGTTAGACCACTCAAGATCACCCAAGAGGTCGTTTTTTTGTCTTTTAAGTATTCTGGCCACTATAGGCTGTTTCAACACTCACCTGTTCCTGGATGGCCCAAGAGCAGCCCCCACTCCTCTACCCTCCCAAGAACCAGAAGGGGCATCAAAGACAGAGGGTGTCAAGCCCACCGCATCTCACACCCCCGGAAGGCCTGGCTGTGGGGCAGGTGTCTGAGGCTGCCTAAGGCCATGCAAGCTAGCTGTTCTCCACCTGTCTCAAGCATGGGCTTCAGAAGCCCCCAGGGCCATCACTGTCCCTGGAGAAAAGGCTGGAAATCACCTATCAATAGTCATCGTGTAGAAACTAATGGCTCAGTGCGCCTGGGTGGCTCAGTCGTTAAGCGTCTGCCTTCTGCTCGTCATGATCCCAGGGTCCTGGGACCAAGCCCCGCATAGGACTCCCTGCTCAGCAGGAAGCTTGCTTCTCCCTCCCCCACTCCCCCTGCTTGTGTTCCCTCTCCCCGTGTCTCTGTCAAGTAAATAAGATCTTTAACAACAACCAAAAAAAAAACCAAACTAATGGTTCAATTATGTTCACTGAAGAAAACCTGAAGTTATCACCCCCATCCTCCTGAGTGAGGAAAAGGGTTAGGAGGGTGTCTCTGAGACAGCACCCAAAATCCCAGGTGAAAATGCCAGGCATGAAGGTCACACACCACAGAGGGGCCTGTGGCCCTGGTGCTCTCCAGAGTGGCATCCTTAACCTCCTTTCACTGCCACCTGTGCGGGCGGCTATTATGGGATCCCGCTGCGAGCAGATGCCTTACAGGGAAGTGCTGTGACACACCGGCAACCAGTGGGATCACAGGGCTATTGTGTATCAGCTCCAGCCACCTCCTAGAAAGCTGAGCACTAAAGCCGAGGCCACAACAGCAAACGGACCCAACCCCGGCATGTGCCTCACGTCCCACCAACTCCCCTTTGCCTCCTGTTTCTACCCTTAATTCCTTTTTCAATCAAAGTGAATCATAAATAAAAATTTATATTGCAGATGGAAATGAAAATAATTCAAGCTGACCGATTAACCTATAATTAGACTATCTGCAGAGTTGAGAAAAGAATGAAGAAGCAACAGGAGATAGCATTAATTTTTGAAATATTTTATTGCCTAAGTAAAACATAAATATATGGAGCAATATTGATTGTGTCCAATAAGGAAAAGTACTTTCTCAGAGATGAGTTTTCACTGTGAATTAAGGATTTCTAGGTAGAGAATTCCTCAAAGGGAAGGTCTGAAGTTTCCATCATGGTGAATACAGAAATCTTAATATGGCAAAAACTTCCCAGTGTAATACTCAAAATCTGTGCCCAGTACCAAAAAATAATTTGAATTAAGACGTCTTTAACGATTTGCCCAGGAAAGAACCTGATTTTGTTTGATCTGAAGTACAGCTGACACAAGGCGTACAGTACAGTGACCCGACAACTGGGTACGTTACTTAGTGCTCCCCACGCGAAGCGCAGTAACCCCGTCACCACACAACGGGACTGCAGTATCACTGGCTATGCCCGCTACGCTGTACTTCTCATCGCTGAATTACACATTTTGTAACTGAAGTTCGTACTCTTAAACCCCTTCATCTATTTCACTCGTCCCCCCACTCCCTCCCCTCTGGCATCCACCAGTTGGGTCTATATTTATGAGTCTGTTTCTCTT